GCCACCACGGTTTAGTGCAGGTGATTCCAGTTCCCTTCTCGGGGCTTGGGCAGCTGTTGATTTGCATGAATATATTTGTATGCCCATTTGTTAGAATCTGTCACCCCACTCCCATGCCAAACGGGTATTTGTTATGGAAGTGAGCAGAGGGTGTTGCTTAAGCCACCACGTCAGGGCAGATGTTATTTGGGGCAGTGGCAGGGGAGGAATGACACTGAACCAGAATGCTGTGCACAGCGTTGCATCCTGACCACCGTGCCTGGCTGAGAGGAGATTCCTCTCCCTAGTAAAGATACCTGAGCGAAGATGAACTGACACCTGCGCTGAGATGTTGTTAGTAACGAGGTGGGACGCCGCGGTGCGTGCCTTCGAGCGAGAGATAAGGTCTGAGATGTGGAAGTGTCTTGGGTAACGTGAGACTGGTGAAATACGTCGCCTTCTTGGAGACCAGGGCGGACAAATGAGCAACGGGCATGTGAAGATCTCATTTCTTCCGTGTCGTAGGACCCCCCTTTCGAAGGCAAGCGGGGTGCTCCCTTCTGCAGGTCGCGCTTCGGCGCCAGCCCAGCCGTGGCGCTTTACGGAGCGCTCGGCGAGGACGGTGTGATACCCCGGGAGAAGGAAGGCACGTGCTGTCTGGCCATGCCCGTCAGATCCAGGCTGGCACAGGCACGACAGGCTGTGTTGGGAACGCGCTGCGCCTGAGCCCTTGCCTTCCCCATCCACGCGATGCGTAAACACAGCTACAAGGAAAGCAGCTAACTAAGTCCTTCCATGTAAAGTCAAACGCGTTCTAATATTGAGGCCAGGCAGCTATTTCAAGATCACAACGGCTTTAAATAGATGGTAAGACTAGTAGTGAGCTGGAGTAGAGTGGTAGTGTGCGTCTTAGCGCTCTAGTTCTGCTGCCGTAGGGATGGCAGACCTTCCTTTGCTCTTCCTAAACTAACAGCGGGGGGGTGAGTAGCAACTAACCGAGTATTGGTGTCAGCTTTGTTCAACACCTAGAGAGAACTGGAATTAACTAAGCTACTACAAGACTGTAGTCTAGCAACAATTAGCATGAACCTTGTTAAATGCTTTAAGAACACTAATGAGCTCACCTAGAGACCTGAATTGTCATCTCATACCTGCTTCTTTTCCAGTGGGATCATTTTTAATAGAAATAAAATGTGATGATAATAACCTCGAACTGTCTTTTTAAGGGTAGAATATTGGATTTTATGACTTCTGAGGAAATATATTGGCAATACTCTTTGACTCTTAATTGCTAGTAAGAACACCAACACAATCGAACTTAGAGAAGTATGAACTTGAACTCCAGGTTCCTGTGGGTTGTGTGGGATTGAACGCTTGCATTTGTTCTCCCAGCCCTCCTTTTCCATTTCCCTTCCAGGACTGTTGGGACAATCCCATCTGTAGGATTTTCCAAAGCCTAAATAGAAAAGGAATTTGAACAACGAGCCCAACTTTTAATTAAAGCCAGTTACGTAAAAGCACCCAAAAACTATTTTGTGACTGAATTCCCATTTTACTTGGAGTTGCAGACTTTTAAAAAAAGAAATTACAGTGTCGTTACAAGACCAGCTCTCACAGCAGCACGGACTCTGGGGAGGCATCTCGCCAAGACAGAGCGCTTCACTGGGCCGTGTGCGTTTGCATAATCAAAGTATTAACAAAACGTTCTGGAGCCATTTCCATGTAGTCTGAGGCTGCCACTGCTGCTTGTTCCTAGAAACTGTTGTCTTTTTTTTAATGTGTAAACTTGCTAATTTAGTTTTACATGGCTTCTGTTGTCTTGGAGGGGATTAGTTTTAACAAAACTCCCCTCCACATTTTTCAATTTAGGGCTTCTGGAACTTGCCAAATGCACAACTGGCTGGCAAAAAGCGGGCTGTGTGGTCAGTTTTAAATGAGATATAAGCGGTACGACGTCACAATCACAGTATTTTAAAACTTCTGGTTAACTCTTGAGAGTTTTCCCCACCCTCTTCATTCTTGAACAAATGAAACCTGGTACATTTAACCCATGTTTGATGGGGAAAATGGGGCTCAGAGTCTGAGGGAAGCAAACTGGAAGTTTAAGCATGGAAGGAGCAATGGGTGCAAAGCCTTGGCTCTGCCGTCAGCGTGCTGGGAGATGGGGGAAGCTATTTAAAAGGTCAGTGCTGAATAGCAAATGGCTGACATGCTCAAATGTTTATCTTCCAGCTCGCTCTGCTTCTTGTATGTGACCTGCGAGAAGTGTTCTGCCGCTTCCAAGGTCCGTGGGTGTTACATGAAGTAGGTCTGTCTGGGAGCAGAATTCCTTTGTTTTCTTCCTTCTTCTTCCCTTTATTTTTTGAAATCTCACAAAACACAGCAGCACGGACTCCTGCACTGCTGAGCTGTTCTTTGAGGACTCCTGCAAACTCGAGATCCCACAGCTTCTCAGGAATCTGTTACTTGCTCAGCCACCTGATGTGTTTTCAGGATAACCAAGATTTGAACTGCTCTTCCTCCTGATACAGGGGCCACAGTACCACCACGCTTTTTAGGACATCTATTCTTCTTTTATTCCCATAAAAGTGGAAAAAACTGCTATTTTCCTCCTCTCCGTACAGATTTCCTTATCCTGAAAGAAACAGAAGTACCTTTCTGAGCTGTAAACTAGCCAACAGCTCTGAAGGCTACGCCTTCCCTAGCGTTACCTGCTGCGTGCAGCGTTAAGCAACACGGGAGACGGCACTGAAACTTCTGCGGTAGGTTTTCGGTTGCTGTAGGCTGAAGAAATTCATGGCTTTGTATCTCCGAAGCCAGCAATTTCCAAAGCTGTTAAACTAACAAGCCAGGTCTACAAGATGCGACTTGTCCTTGGGAAGGAGCATGTTGGAAGGTGCCTACGGAGCCCTCCTCTCGTTAGTGGCTGTCTGGGCCAGCTCGCAGCAGCTTGGCACGCTGCGTTAGTGTCGTACGCGCGTGATTCAGCTCTCCGTTGCAAATTACGGAGGGGCAGTTGTGCTAAATCTGGCCCATTGTAAAGGAAACTGCAGGAACTTATTTTTTGTGGAGGATCTACATTTATTAGCTGAAATCAAAATGATAACTTGTAGTGACAGGACAAGTGGTAACAGATTTAAACACAAAGAGAGAGATTGAGATTGGACATCAAGAGAAATTCTTCCCGCAGAGGGTGGGGAGCACTGGGACAGGTTGCCCAGAGAAGCTGTGGATGCCCCATCCCTGGAAGTGTCCAAGGCCAGGCTGGATGAGGCTGGGAGCAACCCGGTCTAGTGGAAGGTGTCCCTGCCCATGGCAGGGGGTGGGACTGCATGGCCTTTAAGGTCCCTTCCAACCCAATCCAGTCTGTGATTCCATGATTCTGTGAACTTGCACCTCTGACCCTTCTTGGATCCATGACATGCACTTTGTCCAGCAGCCTGCAGAGTCGGAGCCAAGCCATCTTCTCAGCGCCTCTCTTGGTGGGAGGTGCTTTGGATTGGCCCTGGCTTTCCAGTCCTTTGACACAACTCACCCACCTTAGCAGTCCTCACCTCCAGCAAGGCCTTAGCTGACCTCTCAGTGCAAAGGGCCGCTTGACAAGAAGTCAGAACTCTGGAGGAGCGCTGCGGAAGAGCATCAGCCTGTGCTGTGCCTTGAATTCTGTCATCCTCTGCTAGAAGTCTGGAGAAAGCTGCATCTCCCAGCGAATTCATCTGCAGAGCCTCTGTCGGGTCTTCTTCCCGTGAGAGGTTTCAAGCTGTGGTGTCCCCTGATGCCTTTTCTCCCGAGGAGAGCCTCTCCAGCACTGCGAGGTCTCTTCTCGGCCAGCCCCGCTTGGCTGCCTCACTCTGGCCCGGGACCTGCGTGTCTGACTTTGCTTTCCAAGTGTTTTTTCAGGTTGTCCTTACAAGATCTATTGTGGTGTTTTCCTGTTTACTTCTGCAGCCCTCTGTTGTATTTAGGCAGTGGAGTTGTTAGGAAATTCTACACTGACACGCAGTAATTTCCCTTCGCCGACCCCGTTGCCTGTAGCCTCTGTGAAATAGCTGTGCTCCGGCTCTCGGCGCGCTGCCTGTCGCAGTCTCGCAGCGTAAAGCGAGCGGGTTTGTCACGGGAGGGGAGGGAAACCTGCCCTGCCTTTCCGTTCAACCATCCCTGGAGGCCCCACGAGCGGGCTAGGTGAGCTCGCTGCAGCACCCATCGCCGGTGCTGGAGCCGAGAGGAGTGTGTGCCGCGCTCTCCGCTGCCCACCCAGGAGCTGCTGCCCCATCCTCCTCCTCACCTTCCCCTTGGAGACTCCACGCTTGGCACTGGCACACGCTGGGTCCTGCTGCCTCTGCTGTGAGAGGGTCACCTTTGGCAGAGGGTTGGGGCTGGGGAAGCTGGGACAGTTTGGCTTTCAGCCGGTGTGCCGAGGCTTGCCAAGGCTCGGTGGTGTGGTGGGAGGCGGATCTGGAAGGAAGCAGGACTGTGTACCCTGGGCTCTGGCTGCCTCCGCCTGCAAGGAAGCTCAAATTGTTTTCATAGGAGTGTTGCCTGAAGACTTTGAGCCCCTCTTCTTGCTAACCCTTCACTGTGGCTAATACCCATTTAAAAAAATACCAGAGGGGTAAATGTACCATTTTGAAACCTGACTGATATCCAGTATTCTACCCTTAAAAGCTTTCCACGATCAAGATTAGAATCATCAGTCCGTCTTGATGGTTTTAATATGTGGTCGAGAACTTACCCGTCACGCTGGCATTGAGTCACATCATTCCCCATAATCTTTCTCTTGGGTTTTCTTTTTTAGCCTTGTTGTTCATAACCTCCTTTCCAAGTGTTTCTTTATTTGAAATGCCATTTATATTTTGTTGCTTTTTTTTTTTTAATGTTTTCCAGCACATCTCACATCTTTGTTTTTGTTTTTTGTTTTTTTTTTTAATCTTCTTTCTGGCGTTTTCCATCGCTCTGTGGCCATGATTGTGGATGTGTTTTGGTTTTTGCCTGCCTTGCTGTTCTCTCGCTGCACTCCCTAGATCCCTGTTGCACAGTCCTCTGTCATGGATGACATTGAGGAGTGGCTCAGTACCGACTTGGTGAGACTCTTTATATTTTCATTTTTCACACGGGCACTAGCACTCGTACGGGTAACTTTCGATGTGTTGCTGAGTTACTGGTACTTCTCCTCCCGGGAGGCAGGGAAACTTCCAAATCACGCAGCTTGTTTCCCTCCGGAGGGGATATCTAAGCAGGAGGGTCGTGTTCAGCAATTCAGCCATAACGGGTTTTTTCCAAGTGATTTTATTTTCACTTCTCCATGCTGACATCACAGAATAGCACGCATTCCAGAAATCCTGTTTCTGGTCCCCGACAGGAAAGCGTTTGAAGGTGTGCTGAGTTTTTCCTGTGCTCTCCACCGGACTAAAAGCACATGTTTAAGGCTGCATGGGCTTTGACAGGACCTAAGGCCATGCTAATGTTGAGCCATGCTTTTAGGAGATGCTGGATGAGGGCTTAGATTCCTTTCAAACTGAGATGTCTTTCTTAAATTGGCAGTCTTGGCATGTTTCATAATAGCAGTAATAAAAATTTATAACAGTCGCTCTTCGATGTTTATAACTTTCAGTTTCTCCTAAATGATTATTGTCTGGTAATTATTAAACAAACAAACAAAAGACAGAGCTAAAAGTAGCTTTGACTTCATTCTGGAGTTTGTTTTGCTGTACCAGTACACACTGGGTTTAAGCCGTGGTACAGCTAGTACGCATTTATTCCGGTGCCTTTTTTTTAGCGGAAGCATCTGACTCAAATTAACCAAGTGCTTTTTGGGGATGGGTGGCGGGTTGCGTGTCAGACTGTTCTTTTAAACGTGGGTTTAGTGGAATGAACTGTTTCCTTGTGGTCACCATATCCCTAAGGATCATCTCCTTCCATTACTTCTTACGACTTCAGATACTGTCCCTCGACATCTCCTTACTCCTTAAGGTCTCCCCCAGCCCCTTGCTCAGCTCCTAGCTGGGAGCTGCGGGGTTCAGGCTCTGCTCCCCGGCTCCGGCAGCAGCGCTGCGGGCACGCTCCAGCACGTCAGCCCCCGACTCCGGCACCGGCAGAGCCGGCTGTACTCAAAGGGTGAAAATGCTCCTGCTCTCCAAAGCCGCCTGAAGCGCTTAAACACACTCTGGGTTTCGGTGTTGGAGCGTGGCAGGCTGACTGGCTGTCTCTGAAATGCCACTGGTTTTCAGCTGCAGGTAGTTTTTTCAGGCAGTCGTCTTCAAATTTAATTACAAACTGGCCTCATTTTGGTAAAGAAATAGAGTAAATGTAGCGTGTCCACTCTGCTTAAACAATAAACTTCTGCCTCTACCATTTAAATTCATTTAGCAGGAGAGAAGATCGAATGGCGAGATACCGAGGTAGCTCTGTAGTCTGTCACCCCTAGACAGTCCTGCTCAGAAGGAGCAAAGCAGAGAAGCGCCGTGTAGATGCCCGAACGAGCCTGGGGTTCGCACGCGCTGCGGCCGTGGCTGTACCTGCTTCCCTTCTCCCGGGTCCCCATCCTCTCCGGACATGGGTGCAGCATAGAGATCCCCGCGGAGAAAGTCTGGACTGGATTTTTGGGTTTTACCCTGGGGTCTCCTCCCTCCTCTTTTTCTTTTTGCTAATGGTTCATTTCAGATCTCTGCTTCCCAGCTGAGGAAGTTCCAGATTAGGTTAGCTAATCGTTGTTTTTGGGGTACAGTGGAGCAACCAGTACCTCTGCACGTGAAGCCATGGCTGCTGCGTGTCCCTTCGGAAACCCCGGCACAGTAGATGGTGGATGCTGGGTACTTTCCTCTTTCAAAGTGCGTTCAGCAGCAGGTTTCCGAGTAGCGTTTCTCATCCATTTTTAACATCCCGCTAGATTGACAAGGATGCCACATCCTTGAACTTTAATGTCCTTAGTAAGGAGCTGTTGGAAACTGGCACGTTGAAACGCAGACAGCTGGCTGAAAAGCCCCAACCCCAGGCATCCCAGCCCGTGTACCTCGTGGACAGACACCAACTGCCCAGCAGTATCCTTCATCCAGCCCACCCCAGTCTTCGTACAGCACGGACACCAGGAAAGCTGCTAGATTTTTGTGCGAAATCTAACGTGAACTCCCACAGGAGAAACGTTGGCCCCAAACTTTCCTGCAGCGAGTGTCCTCTGTCACCTAAAAGCGCATTTTATTTGGAGATGCGACACAAACCGCAGCCCCAACTATTTTCAAGGGCTGTGTGACAAAAGCTGGCATCCTGCACGGGGTCTGTGTGACACGCACAGCTCCGGTTTTGACCAGGCCTACTGTCTGAAGTGGACACAGCAGTGGCATGACATTCAGGTCCAACGGGGAAAGCTTAGCTGCCCAGCAGCCGCCTCCAGCGCTCGTGCTCTTGCTGCAGCGCGCCGAAGTGTCAGTCGCCCTTGGCCTCCCGACGTGGGAGCCGTGCGGTTTCCCCGGGTCGCCCTGCTCAAACGGTGTGTGGAAACGAGCCGTGTGAAAGGTGTGTAGGGGATAATAGTGACGGTGAAGCTCTGCCTGTGCATTCACACGCCTTTTTGTTCCAATTGCAGAAAGGAGAAGAGCTGGAGGAGGGAGTGACCAGTGAAGGTAAGCAGAGATGCCTGTGGCTGTGAGCTGTTCCCAGGTTAGAGTGCAGACGGAATTATCTGCTTTGATCCCTGCTGAGATGCTGACTTCTCCCAGCCTGATGTTCCCCAGCAAATGCTTCTGCACTCGGAAAGGTGGGAGGAGAGCATTTCAGAGCAAGAAGTTCATATTTATGGTGTGAGGAGCCCTCCTGGATGTGCTTTCCTACCATCTTCCTTGGCTCTGCACTGTGTTTATGCCGGCAGGAATGTGTCCCCAAGCTGCTCAGTCCTTTGGAATGATGTTTCCCTGTTTCTGCCACAGTGGGTGGCATAGCATGGGTTTGATTCCCTCCGCTGCCTGAGCTAGGGTGTCCCAAAGGGTGTCTGTACCCGTCCCTGAGGAGGTCGGGCTGTAAAAATATGTGTGCCAGCAAACACAGCCCAGCAAGGTGCCAGAATTTCTGGATGCCAGGTGCTGGAATTTCAGACCCTGCTGACCCCTATCCCCAGGACTCAAGGTCCAGCCCCAGTTCTTACCCGTCTTCCTTCTTTTTTTTTTTTTTTTTCCTTCTTGCAGAATTTGACAAATTCTTAGAAGAGCGAGCCAAAGCGGCGGAGATGGTTCCCAATCTGCCATCGCCTCCCCTGGAAGCCCCCACCCCTCCAACAAATCCTTCCAGCAGGAAAAAGCAGGAGCGCTCGGAGGATGCCCTCTTTGCACTGTGAAGGTTGCCCTTAGCCGCCCTCCCACCCCCGTGCTCCGCGGGCGAACGTCGCTGTACGGCCACTTTGTCCTTCGCTAACGATGGCCCCCTCCACTCCCTCCCTCCCCCGTTCCATAGATTGCTTCTCCTTCCCCCCTCCTCCCTCCCCAAACAACCCACGACCTGACTCTTTCTATTTAAGTCCAACACTATTTCTGCCAGACCACGATTCTCCAGCACCCGCTTAATCCCCTCCTTCCCATCCCAGCCGCACACAACCGGCTCTGGAGGCTGAAAACCCCTTTAGAACGCGTGAGTACGTCACACCGTGTCGAAACAAAAGCCCGGAGGGGGGAGAGCAGCCTTGCCCTTCAATTTCTGTCGGGATCATCCTCTTCTGTAGGCAGGTCCTGCCAAGTCGACTGCTCTGTCGATCAGCATGTCATTGACTGAGCTGGAATGTTCAGGAGGAGCGTGTCTTTATTTTTAGATAAAATGTTAATGTATTGGCTTTCGTGTCGGATTCGGCAGCAAGGAACAACTGTTCCCCCTTCAACATGTGCTTCGCAAGTTAAAAATCCTTTACTCTCCCACTCACACATCTCCCGGTACCATATGGTGGTCGCTTTTTCCCCGCTCCGTGCGCCGCTTCGTAGTCTGAATCTCACAGGGTGTTTTCTTCCTTGTGTTTTATCCGGGCTTGCTCTGATTCCATTGGCCGTGTCCAGTAGCTCTGGCAGTCGACGAGCAGGAGAAACGCTGAGCTAAGCGGACGCCGTGACGTTAGCGCGTGCAGCATTTTGCTCTTTGGGAGAGCATTCTCACGTGGGGCTTTGGTTTTTTTTTCCCTAGTGTGTTTTGCCTTTGGGAATAGCTAGGTTATTTTTTCCTTACCTTGGATTCCTTCTTCGGTGACTGTAGAGCTCCGCAGTTGTCTCCGCCGTTGTACGTAACATCCCTGCGGATGGATGGGACTTGCTGGTGGCCTGGCTGTGAGCTGAGCTTCCTGGCTTCCCTGCCGTGCCTGGTGGGATGGACGTGCCCGTTCTCGGGGGTAGCTGTGAGAAAAAAGAGGCAAACCTCACAGAGGCCTGTAGGAAAATGCCGAGGGAGGTGGTTATGTGGAGGGATTAGCCGTGCTGGCCTGTGCTGTAGGTGAGACTCCTTGTTTCCTTCTCAGTTTGGGCATGAGAAAGTGCTGGATGACCGTGGCCGTGTGGTTTGTAATTTTTGGAGTGTCCTTTAGATACCTCTGCCCCTTGATTAACTCCGAGCTCTGATGGTGCTGCGCTCTCCCTCCCGTCTGTGCAAACAAGCCTATCCCCTCGCTTGCCAGAGATCCGGCCGAGAGTGCTGCTCCTCCCGGAGCTGCCGGAAGGGATTCCAGCATGTGTGCCTGGCTCGCTGGGCCGACAAGCAGAGCGGGAGCAGGCAAGGCGGGGCGGGGGCGGGCAGCCCCAGCCAGCGCTGCATCCCCCAGCATGTCCCTTGGTAGGGAGCCAGCGGTGCAAGATGGCAGGATCAAAGAGAGCGCTGAAGGCAGCGTGGCAGGGAGAATCTCCCGTCCTGGCAGAGAGGCAATCTCTCAGATGAACGCCCGTGCAGGCAGCAGCGCTCCAGCCCCTCTTCCTCGGGGCGTTCCTTGTCTTAGGCAACCGGCCGCTTTGTTCTGCCGTGGCACGCCTGAGCTTCCCGGGATGCTGGTGTGCGTCGCGCTCTCTCACGAGGTGTAGGGGTGCTAGGCCGAGAAGCGGCGCGATAAACAGCCGACGCGAAGGGGGTAGAAGCTTTTATCTGAGCGTAGCTATTTCAGCGCGTAGCGTACTCTCCGGGGTATGCCACGCTTTGGTGGGTTGTGACACGTAAAACCTCGGACCACATGGCCCGACTGCAGCGCTCATGGTCACATTAATCGTCGGAGGGAAGCGTCGTTTGGTGCAGGATTTCCAGGCCATCCCAGGTCAGGTGTCCCTCTGTGCTGTCCCTGCTCATCCTCTGTCCTGCCCTGCCTGCATCCTCTTCCAGGATCCCTCCGTAGCCGGGCTCGGGCAGGGCTGCCCTGCCACCCCCCCGGCGCTGAC